CAAAAAGAAAAAAGCCGGAAGTGGCGCTGTGGCTCAAGTGGTAGAGCGCTAGCCTTGAGCTGAAGAGCTGAGGGACAGCGCCCAGGCCGAGTTCAGGCCCCATGACAGGACCAAAACAAAACAACAACAAAAAAAACCTGAGTCTTACTATGCAGCCCAGGCTGGCCTTGAGCTGGTGATTCTCCTGCTCCACCTCCTGAGTGCTTAGATTACAGATGTGACACACCATGACCAGCCATCTTCCTTTTCTTTTTCAGGCTGTTTTCTTCTTTCAACTCTTCCAGTAATTCACTAGTTACCTACATCTACTGTCTTTATATTCATCAGGTCAACCAGGAATCCTTTTACATCTCAGGTGAAGCCATTTTTTACAGTGCCAGCTCACTTTCTGTGAGATGGATTTGATTGTGTTACTTCTTTGCTTATTATGTTCTGACTCTTGACCTTAGTTCGTAGACTTCTGGAGTTGAGAAGTCCTAAAAAAGAGTCTTCTCTACTGGCCTCTAAATAAACCATGCTCTAGTTCCTAGTTCCTCTAACACTATTTGAATGAAGATGCTGTCATGGGAGCAGTGGGAAAATGAGGGACACAGATAAAACACTCAGTAGGAATATCCAGTATTTGACAAATGCTACTAAGGAGTGGTATACCTACACAAGTGGCTATACCTTTAAGTGGCTATTAAACAATAAAAACCTTATTACTGTATCTGTGAAACGATTTATTCATTTTGTGCATAACTTCAAATTAATGTTCTGTTTCAAAGAAACCAAAAATGTCTCATTATTGTTTAGTTCTTGTATATTTTCATGTGGTGTTGCCCCATCCCACTACTATAGATTTGTAGTTCAATAAAAAAAAAAAAATTAGTTTTTCACAGTTGTACTATACTCTATTCTTCAGATACATTTTACAGAGTAAAAATTTGTGAGGTTCAGGGGTACATGCCTGTAATTCCAGCACTCTGGGAGGGTGAGACAGACGAATATCAGAGACTAGCCTAGACTACACAGGGAAGGAAGGAGGGAAGGAAGGAGGGAGGGAGGGAGGGAGGGAGGGAGGGAGGAAAAGGAAGGGAGGGAGGGAAAAGAAGGGAAAGAAGGGAAGGAGGGAGGGTGAAGGAAGGGGAGGGGAAGGAAAGAAGGAAGGAAGGAAGGAAGGAAGGAAGGAAGGGGAGGGCTGGGAGGGAGGGGCAGGGACAAAAAGGTGAGAGGGAAGGGAGGGAATGAATTCTACAATGACAAAGGCCAAAATTAACACTCTGAATTCCAGTCCTTTTAGCAGTTAACTTCAGACAAATTTTGTGAGCTCTAAAAAATTTTTCCGTCCACTATGACAGTCGCTCTTATTTCACAGGAATGTTGTCAAAATTAAAGCAGAAACAATTTAAATGTGTTCCATTCACACTAAGCATTCCGTAAATAAAACGTTAGGGATAACAATTTCTGCTTAAAAGTGTAGCACTAGTGCCTAGCCTATTTGGTACCTTTGTTTTTCCTTAATATTGAAAACCTGAGCACAAGGTAAAGCAACCTGTAGTTTAGCAATGTCTACACTTTAATGTGAGCCTTGTTTTACTCGACCTCTTTGCAAAACAAATTAGGGGGAGGGGAAAAAGGGTTTTGAGTATCGATCAGGACCGAGGTGTAAAAACAAAAGGGATAAACTCCAAAAATAGCCCAGAGATGGGAAGCAAGCCTGGCCAGGAATGGGTCGCCACTGAAACTTGAGTGAGGAACCCCACTGCCGCCTTCATGCTCCTTGTTCAACTTCCAGGACGTTTGGTTTAGGTGTTCAAAGGCCAATCTTTCCCTTTTAGGCGACACGTAAACCGAGAATAACCAGACCGCACACGAGAAAGTTCTGGGCGGTGGACAGTGAGTGGCAACACCGGCCAGGTGAAGCAAGCCTTGCCTCGCAGGCCGCCCGCACAGGCGAGGTCGCTCCGCCTCCCGGACTCCCCGAGGCCGGCTGGAGGCCGGGGAAGGCGCTGCACCTACAGGGCCGCCGCGCGGGAACGGGGGCTCCCGAGTCGGCCCGGCCGAGGGACAGGAGTGAGCGGATGGGTGGTGGGCGAGCAAATCCCAGCCCTTCGGGGGCAACGCACTCGACTCCCCTCAGCTCCGCCCCAGCTCCGGGCCCTCCGGGGCCCTCGGCCACCTCGGCTGAGCACACGCCTAGACGGCCCACGGAGTCCACCGGCCTCCCGAACCAGGTTCCTTCCGCTCCTTTCCTGTCACCCCGACGTCCCATCGCCGTCAAGCCCAGGGCCGCCGCGTTTCCCGCCTTGCCAACCGCTTTTCCAGTCCCCATGCCCCACTTACCCCGCCGCGCGGCAGCCAACACCTTCTCCAACTACTCAGGCTTCCAGACTGGCCGTCCCGGGACGTTGCTTGTCAATCAGCCAATCCCGCCCTTAGCCGGGACCAGGATGACCAATGAGCTGTTTGCTAGGACTCGGAGGTGGGGCGTAGGGAGCCGAGCCAGTCCGGCCCCGCCCTAGGCGCCCACGGCTACCTTTCGCTGTCATTGGGCGCACGCGCAGGACCTCGTGAGGGGCGTGTGCTTTCGCGCGGGCCTTGCTTTGGTGCCCTCACTGCTCGGCCCAGGGGAAAAGCTTTCGTGCGCTAAGTTTGTAGGAAGACCCGCGTCCCGAGGCTAGCCTGGACAAAAGCCGCGAGTCTTAAGGCTACCCTAAGCTTTGTCGAGCCCGACGGGGACTGGCGCTCACCCGGCAGTTGTTCCCGGAGCGGGCCTCACATCCGGGATGTGTGTGTCTGTCTGAGGTGCGCCGTGTGGCTCGACGTGAATAAAGCTTTTCCTTTCCTGACCTCAGCTCCACCGTCCGTTCAGTCTGCGTCTTTGCAGCGCGTGCTTTTCACATGCGTGAGTATTCTCTGCTATCTTTGCAAGCCATCTCGCACGTCCGTGTGGCCGCATTCAGCACGGCAATGTGTGGAAATGTGATCAACACTGAGAGGTGCCTATCAGTATTTTCCTGCTTTTCTGGAGACTTGCTGGTTCGCGGTCTCTCCTGCCCTCCTCCCGGGGTCGTTGATCCTAGAACTGGCTGGGCGGTGTTTCTGCCTGCGGGGCCCTAGGCGCTCGCTAGCTGCCCTCTTTCAGCCATTGCTTCAGTTCATTTGCTCAACAAAGGGCTTGTTAGGTGCCCATTATGACAGTACAAAGATGGTTTCAAAAGCCTGTAACCACACCCTGAGTGAGCCTTCAGTATAACAGGAAGGTGAAAGCCTGTGTAATCTAATGTCATCGTGGACAAGTGGCCTAAGAGACTCGTCTGAGTCTGTAAGGTGGCTCAGAAAACACTAAAAGTTGGGCCCGAGTTCTTGGTGTTAGGCTTGCTGAAAAAGCAAGAGCCTCTGAGCCGAAACAGGTGGGCGAATAGTAACGTTTCAAATAAAGGCGGCCTGCTTCTTCTGAAATATTTTGAAGGTCTACTTGATGCTAATGCTTGCGTTTGAGGCTCGCTACCTTTCATCAGCCCGGTTCACATGGTCCTATGTTCTCTTCTACTTTTTTTTTTTTGGTCGGTCGTGGGGCCTGAACTCTGGGCCTGGGTGCTGTCCCTCAGCTCTTCAGCTCAAGGCGAGTACTCTACCACTTGAGCCACAGCGCCACTTCCTGTTCTCTTCTACTTTTTAAAAGGAAGTGCCTGAAAGTGTCCAGCAAATGAAGATGAGTTTTGGAGTGGTTTTAGTACAATAGTGTTTGAACTCAGGGATGAATGCTCTACCACTTGAGCCACACATCCAGCCTTTTTTGCTTTTTTTTTTTTTTTCTTTTTCAGATAGGCTCTAGTGTTTTTACGTGGGGTCAGCCTTGGACCATGATCCTCCTACATATTTATCCCATGTAGTTGGAATTATATATAGTTGGAATTATGAGCCATTCCATCTAGATTTTTTGGAGACAGGATTTTTACTGTGTATCCCAGGCTGACCTCTAGTTTGTGACCCTCCTGCCTCACCTCTGAGTGCTGAGATTGCAGTTACAGAGCACCACACTCTGTATAAGGCCATCTTTTTCCCCCCTAACTTCCTACTTCCCTTCCTTTACACTTTCCTTATCCTAAGTGCCCTGGAGTGGCACTCGACATTTTTGGAATCAGGACGAGATTGAACTTGGGTCATTTCATCTGATTGTGGAATGGCTTCCAAGAATTCTTATAGCCAACTTGTATGCTATCTCACTCAAAGCTGTGACACAAATGCTTGCTAAGTTCCTTCCATTAGAACTATTTATCTGGTAAAAAAAAAAAAGTTTTAAATGCTTTCAGCAGAAGTTAATGTAGGGGAGACATCTTCCAATCATTTCACCTCACCCTGGGTCAGTGGGACACATGTTAAGCAGTTAAAATACTGTTAAATAATGCTAAGTCACTTTTGTTGATCATTCACTACAAAGAAGTTATTCAACAAAGCAGTTTATGAATATAGTTCATCTTGAACAATGCCACCCCTTCAACATTCTCACCCATTGCTCACAACCCTTACCCTCACTTTTTTAATTTTGTAGGATATACACAGATTTTTTTTTTAATATCTGAGATCAGAATTCATTGGCTTTCACCCTACCAACTGAGCCACACCTCCAAGCCCATATATTGAATTTTTTATTGCGTTCTCCCCAACTTTTTCTCTTCATTCACATACCTTTCACCCTTCTCCCCTTAACATTACCCCCACCCCTTTCAAGTACCCAGTTCCTGGTGTTCATTTTGTTGAATCTTTATTTTGCCTTTCCAAGGAATTATACTGTTTGGATCTCTTAATACTAATGATTAGCTTTTATTATAAAAGCCCTTTTTAGTGCTTGTTTTTCCTTTAAATAAGCTAAGATGTTGGGGACCAGGACAATTTGAGTCCCTAATTGAGAGCTGTTAGATCCTACCCCGGTACCCCAACTACCTTGAGTGAAGGTCCATCAGCCTAACAGACAGACTACACTCTTGCCAGCAACAGGTGCTGTGACACTCCATGGATGCTTTGAGAAAGCTACATGACAACCATTGATACTTACTGCCAAAGCACAACTGTAGTTCCTGAAAATATTGTTCCAACCATGACTGTTTCAGTTTGAACCAGACTTTGTGTCATCACAAGATGTGGTGAACTGTAGATGACTCTGCAGCTACTTCCACCCAGGCTAGAGCACTTCTCTGGCTCAGCAGAAGGCACATAAGTGGTCCAAACACACTGGCACCCTTGCCATTCCCATTTCTTTTTTATTTTTAATGTTTTTATTATAAAAAATACTGTACAGAGGGGTTACAGTTACATGAGCAAGGTAATGAGTACATTTCCTATCAAGCATTGTTACCTCCTTTTTTCCCCCTACTATCCCTTCCCTCCCACCTCCACAACTACAACCCCCTCCACCTAAATTGTGAAGTTCATTTTTCAACATAGTGTCTTGTACATCTCATTGTTACAATGGGTCAACCTGTATCCCTATTTAAGCATTGCTATTCCCATTTCTAACTCATAAGCAGATCATTGGGCACCCTGTGTAAATTAGTAGGGAGATATCCTCAGCTATTAGGTACTCACTGGTGTTACAGCATTGGGGGAAATAAAAAGCTTGTCTACAGAGGTCTTTCCTTGGCTACTTTGGATCTTTATAATTGCTAGAGTGGGCTGAGATGACAACAAGAAGCAGTAATGGAGTGGTAGCAGCAGAGTGATAGCAATAGTATATCAAGAGAGTGCCTGGAGAATTCCAGAGAAAAAAAGCACACAGGTAGACAATGTGAAGACACAGAAATATGCAGCCATACATGAGATTGGACTGATGCATCTGTAAGGCAAGGAACCCAAAATTGTAGGACACCACCAGATTCTGTGCTTGTGGTTGAATCCAGGGCTTCATGCATGCAATTTGCATTGAGCTACATCTCCAGTCTTCATTACATTTATTTGTTTAGTTTTTGCTATATGTGTGAAACTTCCCATAATATCTTTTTTTCTTTTTAGGAATTTTATTTTTTTATTATTAAAAAAAAAAACCATGGAACCACCTTACCCCAGTCAGAATGGCCCACATCCTAAAGTCAGCCAACAACAAATGCTGGAAGGGATACAGAGAAAGAGGAACCCTATTGCATTGCTGGTGGGAACGTATACTAATACAACCACTTTGGAAAACAGGCTAGAGATAGCTCAGAAAACTAAATATAGACCTCCCTTATGACCCAGCCATCCCACTTCTAGGCATCTACCCTGAGCAACAGGAACCAGTATACAAAGACACATGCACCTCCATGTTTATTGCAGCACTGTTCACAATTGCTAAGATTTGGAAACAACCCAGATACTCCACTACTGATGAGTGGATCCAAAAATTGTAGTACCTATATACAATGGAATATTATGCAGCCATTAGAAAGGACAAAATAATGGCATTTGCAGGGAAATGGATGGAACTAGAGCAGATTATTTTGAGCGCAGTAAGCCAAGAACAAAGAGACAAATGGCACATTGTCTCCCTGATATGTGGATGCTAAAGCTAAAATACAAGAAGATATGGCAAAGTAATAGAACTCAAGAAACAAAGGACAGCCACCCATTTTGTCATATCATTGCTAAATGACTCCATATTCTTACCCATATAAATGGTAGATATATGTACACAACAGAGGGAAGCCAGGAGGAACAGAATAAGTGGGAATAGCCTACACTAAGCAAAAGGAAACAAAATGTAAACATCACCTGATGTGGAAAACATAACTGTATTGTCAAAGCTTATAGAATTCACAAACTGTATAGACCATGATAATGACAATTTGCCTTGTGAAAGTTAAAATGTGTTTGCGACTCTTAAGTATCACTATTCCACAATACTGTGAAATTTATATAATCACCTAATCTCAATTAAAGAAAAAAGGTGAGAGAAGAGATGGGTCAAGAGAGATGGGTGGTAATGTCAGAATTTTTTTTCCAGTCATGGGGCTTGAACTTAGGGTTCTAAGCACTGTATCTGAGATTCTTTTGCTCCACCACTTTGAGCCACAGTTCCACTTCCAATTTTTAGGTAGTTAATTGGAGATAAAAGTCTCATGGCCTTCCCTTCCCTGGGCTGACTTTGAACTTCAATCCCTAGATCTCAACCTCCTAAGTAGCTAGATTATAGCTGTGAGCCATCAGCACCCAGCTTCACTAATTTGCATGTTATACTTGCACAGGGGCCATGCTAATATTCTCTATATCACTCCCGGTTTAGTATATGTACTGCCAAAGTGAGCACCACAATAAAATATTTTAAAAGTGAGCTTGAGCAGAAATGACAGTGAATAGAGAAAATGAAGCTGTGAAAAGCTGCAGGTAAGAAACTATTAGCTATGGTCACTAGAAGAGG